CTTATTTAGCAATGATTTAATACTCGTGTGAACTTTTAATAGCCTTAGCAAGGACGAGGCCCGATCGCTGATTGGTGGCTAGATATGGATTTTTTATAGCATAGCGCTTCCACACACCAATTTTATTCGTCCCATCTCGAATTTTAATATTTGATGACCCGGTAACACTTAAGGAAATCGAACCTTATTTCTTTGAGTGATTCTCTGTAATTCTGATTCTGTAAATTCACTGGTAGCTTTGAAGTGAGTGCGTTTGTACCACGTTGATCCACTGAAGTAAAATCCATTCGAGTAAACGACACGCACGTAATTATTTTGCAAGTTTAATGTATTAGTATTCTGCAGCCAAAAAGTCCAAGCAAGTTTTGTTTTGTGTGCCAAAGTGGTAAGATTTACGATCCTGGCCTTTAAGTGCTGGTTACTAAACCAGTGTAGTCCTCTTAACTTATTCATAAATGTAATATTTAGCAAAACTCTTTTGCAATTATATTGTTCATTGGCTCCCATTGGACACGATCGTGAAGACGATGATGAGAAGACGACATTTCCTGAGGTTGACACGATTGACAATTCCGATAAGGGATCTAATCATTTTCTCCAGCAGTGTGTGCCAAAATGTAGCCTGTTGAACAATTCGCTCATGGCAAATAAGCACTGGTTACTACACCGATGTAGTCCTCTTAACTTACTCGTAAATGCGATAGCACGCACTCAGTGAATTCAAAGTCAAAGAGCACAAGAGCGTAATCTATTCAGGGGATAACACGAATAGGTTACTTTGTCCAGAACGTACTACTGGATCTATGTGTAGTACATCACGGGTATCAGTCATCGCACGTCCATTCTTTAGAAACGTGCAAGAATTTACAATCATTGTAATTAACAACCATTGAATGCGACTTTTACAACTTGGATCTTTGCTAAAATTTAATTTTGCTATTTCAATTCAACTGAAGATGGCTGGTTTGTTGTGATAATAAAAAACATTAGGAATTCTTACCGGTTGTCAAAAATGCTTATGTCTTCAAGCCAACTTTTTTTGCCTAGTAGCAAAACTTACAAGAAATTTGTCCTGAGTGCATTAGCATTATGTTAGTAAAATGTTTGATTTGTTTTACAAATTCAAAAGCATTTTGATAAAACCGTTTTTATTGCATCTGGTGAACTTTGAGTAAATTGCTCTCATGGGCATAGCGCAGTAGCGCGTTATTCGCAAGCATGAAAATGTTAGGTGCTACCAATGTGTACTTCAACTTAAATGCCTACAAACAGCGGAATCGAATCCACATTTTGATGAAAGAATTTACACATAGAGACTAAATATCTTTCAAAGCTGGTCAAAGTCCAGGAGTTATACCAGTGTTTTGGGATACTGATAGTTTACTGTGTTCAATGTCACAGAACGTATTTGGTAGTAATGATTATGGTGACCAGAAAAAGTTAATGATTTGAATTGAAGCGCGATCAATTCTGGAATTAAAAGAAGCCGTTAAACCAAAAAAGAAGAATTTAGTTCATAAGCGACCTCGGTGAGCAGCAGGTTAAGTCAAGTCATTGTGAACCCGACCTGCCTTTGCTCAAAGTCCGCTTTGCAAACTAAAGTAGCTCACGAGGGGACATTTTTGGCAACTAAAATGTCATGTTAAGGCCTAAACATTAAATGTAGAATGTAAATTTGCTTGGTAACTGTTCTGACTCCAAATTATTGACACTTATTTTTTATTTTTGGCATGTTTTGGATTTTTTACTCCAAAAATGGACATTTAATGACACAATCGATGTTTAGTTTCTCACTAAAAGAAACGGTTCTGTGATAAACAAGACTCCACACATGCTAAAAATATGGCATGTGAACTCTCTGACGTCCTCATGAGATAGAGCTGTGGTATCCGCAGGGACTGTTAACGGTTAGCATGTGCGGTTGAATTTTGTGGCACTTGACCGAGACGCAGGCGTTTCAGTTACTCATACTAAGTGATCTGTTCTCCCAACTGTAACTGATAAAAACCAAAGTGTACAAAGGACATGACACGATTCCCCTCTAATGTGCGCAGAGATGAAACTGATCCCACCAAGTCCTGTTTATTTTAACGATGTTGTTTCGCTTGTCATCTCGTGCCACAGCGATTTCGCCTATACCACTGTCACATGGTTTGACGAAACTGTTTTAATTCCTCAGTGTCCGAGCCGCTCGACCGGAGCAATGATAGTTTGTAAGTGGAGCGAAGCCTCCAGTAGTGCGGTGTGATCTTTTTGGCACTCGCGTCTCCTGGGCCGCTCGGATATTAAATCCCTGAGGATTGGCCTTTTCCGTGGAAACGTACTCTCGGAAATGAAAAGCCCACATCAAATTACTAAGTTATTTAATGATAGGCGCACGCACCTTCTTGCTTATTGATTAGGTATATGACCTGAATTTTCGAGAGTTCTCCTTCGAGCTTAAAATTATATTTAAAATCGAAATATTTTTGCGGCATTCTGTGGTTTTGGAGGGATCGAATGCAAGGTTTCAGAACACCGAATGGCAAGCCTACGTGAGTTGCATGAACTCTCAGAATGGCAGAGTTTACGATGGCAATCGACAAACAGAACATTCGAATTCCAACAAGAAAAATATAATTCCAAAGCACGGGAATCAATTTGTAGTGTGTCTTATAAAACGTATACTTATTGAGACAAGCGTTTTAAAATTGATGCCTTCGATCTTGTCGACTTAAAATCGTTATAAGTTAAATCATAAACCTTATAGAATATGCAAAATTTCAATGAAGTGAGCTGTTAGGCCAAATTTTAATATTTCATGATTTTCGAGACTGATTTTAGACAAGATATGAATGATTTTGTCCCTTGAATTGCGGTTCGAAAAGTTTATTGGAGGACTAGGTTAATGCAATGGTTCTTCAGACTTTATGGGTTTTTGTGTGTGAAAAGGCAGTTTTTCACCCGAAACTTGAACAAGCAGTTACGATCAGCTGGGATGAACGAATCGCAATCTTCGCACTAGAAACGAGCCAAGTTAATCCCAGTATTCAGCCAAGGAAAATATCTATACTGCACTACAAATTACTTAACGTAGACAACAAGAATTTAATAGTCATTGGAATTAATTTGTTAGCTAATGTAAGTAGCACTACAATTGGACAGCTTATGGTGCCTCAAAGACCCGAGCTAGCCTAAAAATTGACTGGGATGCACTTCTCGTTCCCGGAGATATCTGAATTGGTGTCCATCAAAGTATTTAAAATGAATTCAAGTGTTTGCTTTGAAACCAGTTTGACACATTTCCAATTTTATGTTATCAAGCTCGGTTTTTCCATCGACCACAAAAAGAAATGTTTTTATTCATAAAAGATGTAAAAGCAAGTAAGTTATTTGACGCAGGCAGCATTTGACTTGAACCAAAGCAATTCAAGCCATGAGCCTCAACTCTTTGCATGTACATCGAATGATTGAGTAAATCAGTCGAAAATCGTCAATAGTTCGTAAATGCGACTTAACTCTGTATTTTCAATAGCAGTGTTCAAATTAAATTTTGATTTATTTCCTTCATCACAGCACGCATTATCACCGTAACTAAGGGAAGCATAACTATGTACACAAATTTGAGTGCAACCGTCTGATAGACGAAGTCAAAGGCCAATAAGCTGCTGAGTCAAACCAGATAATCTCAAAAGAAAGAGCTCGAACGACCTACATTAGTTTTTGTGCACACAAAAGAACCAAACGATGACAGCTATGCAGACAAGGGAAATTAGGGAGACGATTATAATGATCATAGCCAGGTTGGTAGCCGACAGGTCACCTGCTGTGACTGTGAGAAGAACTGAGTTCGTGACAGTTCCATTCTCAGAAAAGGTGAGCAGTCCCTTTCTGTGTGGAGAATTAACTTCTCGAAATGATGAATCCTCATCAGATTGAACCAACGTAGCGGTAAGAGAAGGATCAGTGTGGTAACGCGACAAAGAACCAGGTATGTTTGGGGTTGGGGTCCCAGATGAAGTTGCGAAGGAAGTTAACGCTGGTTCGGAATCAGTGTACAGCTTGATGTCTGAGTTCGGCGGGGTATTTGTGTGGTAACTGACAGACTCTTCGTCCATCCTCGAAGACGCAGTAACTGACTCACTTTCAGGTCCAGAACCTGTTGAATCAGATGTCGTGAGGAAGTGATCATCAGTGTCAGGCGAGGGAGTTTTGTGGCGATGAAGAGGTGATTCAGTTGGTGGGATTGTGATGGCGGAAATTTCTTCGAATTGGGATGCAGCGTGAGCCAGAGGTATATGGTGACCAGGTGCCATTGTTGCTATAACAGAATAACAAGATTACGTTGTCCCACTTTTGTTATTTCTTACTTGAACTATGTGCTAGCAATTCTAACAAATTATATAATGTATCAAGTGATAAAGCGAGTAACCTTCATCTTTGACTGCTTTTTCACATTGTGGATTTATCGTGTGTCGATGCAGATCAGGCAAAAGTATTTGCCATTTACATGATTGTTAACGATTATTCATCCCACATACATGACACGCGGTCAACGCATTATTTCTTTTTTACACTTTCAGTGATTGAGAATCTTTAAAAACTTCAAAATTTCGCGTTTTTTACTTTATATGTACTAAAGTAGTAATCGAAAGTACCTATATTCGTTACATGTATAATTAACAATACTTAAGTAGCAGTATTTAGTGTATCTGGTATGTCTTTCAGCCTACAGGTCATGCATTAGAAATGGCATTCACCAATGATTTTATCATTTTTCATAGCATGAAATCGACTGGAAACTAGAGTCATTATGTGACGTTGAATTTGCTTAAGAACATGACACTGAGTGGTTCATTAGGTGAGAAGATACACAAAGGACATCTCCGCCGAAACGATTGCGAAACGTTTGAGGCCAGATTGGGTGCCTTATTTGGTGTCCCTTCCCCCACCACCACCACCACCACCACCACCACCACCACAGACCGAGCAGCACAGTGTGAATCAAGCTTGTTCCAAAGGTTTTCGCGGATACTGGGAGCGAACCTCATTCTGTCTTGCCATTTTATTAGAGCTTGGCAATGAACGCGATTCTCCATGTTTTGCTTGAGCTTAAATCGGCCGTCAAGAAAAAAATTGTGCTGTTTTCCTGCAGCAGTGGTTCTTGGAACAATCTTGAAACCACATGGACGATATCTCATTGCATAATGTAAAGACTCATGGTTGGAATCCACTATCAATTCAACCCCTCGCTAGTTCCTACTCTCCAAAGACGCTGTCCTCGTGAGCCCAAATTTTCACATCAAGAAGATGAATTCACTTGATTATCCTAAAATCATGTACGTTTAGAGAGAGATTTTCAAACGTTTCTATTTGACCTGACGTCTTGTCACGCAAAAGGCCATTCTCTCATTAAAGCAACAAAGGTGGAGACACGCACTTTCGATCTCATTTCTTTCTTCTTGCCATAACATCTTACGTGACCGACTCCTGAATTAATCTTTAACTCTAAGCATGACTTTATAAGCAACAAATGAATTTAGGACAGGAAAGAAGAGGTAACGCCCATTGGCGCATGTCGATCCAAGGTGAAGTCAGTGACTTTACTTTCCATATGCAGCTGTTCGTAAAAGCCCACTTAAACCCTCATTATTATTAACTGAACAATCGCTCCTAGTGCATTTTACCAGTGTTTGAACATCGAAAATCAATTTACAGTTTCTGACCAATCAAAATTACTTCCAAACAAATTCAATTCAAGTGAATGAACAAAAGGCCTTTTTTTTGATACGCCTCCCCCAGATGAACAATGTAGATACTACAGTCAAAATGCAGAGGAGCATTCTTACGATTACCTTGCATTCTAATTTCTTCCAACCTTTGTTTCTAGCTACCTGAAAAGTACACGTGCACTTCGTGTGTTGCTCATGGTAAATTGACAAAGTTTGTGTCAAATTAAAGCAAATTTAAAATGTTTCTTCTAGGTCTCTTTGGGGGATGCCAAACTCGTAATAAAATTTGCCCGACAGTGTAGACTGGAGACTCTTGGAGAACACATAATATCGTAGCACATGTTACTGAACTTCTAACTGCAATTGTAGAAGCGAATTCGCAATCAGAGCGATCTCTTGCACTTTTGCGAATTGTGTCAAAATTTAAAAGTGCATTGCTGGAATAATTCGGCTTTGGCTAGTCCATCAAAGTGTGGACTACTGATGTGCGGATTGTTAGACGCTTGCTCGAGGCTGAAACGTGATGCCTCTTGCTGTGATAAGTTTTCTGGAAACATCTGTGTTTTTGCATACGATTTGCATTGAAAAAATTTTGATTGACAGAAAACAGAATTTTCGGTTATAGACACAACGTATTGATCATGGAATAAATGCGAAAAATCAACATCATATTTTAGGTAAGGCCCTAATTTTTGTTTCCCGTGTATCAGCTATGTGGTCCATACGTTTCAGTAAACTGAAGAAGAAAATGTCGCAAAGGGGAAGTAGATGGATTTTCGAATTCCCAAAAAACTGAAAACACCGATATTCAGTCAAAAGAATGTTGATTAAATATATTAATTTTGACGTCTGATTCGGCTATTGCAGGTTCGTATACTAGGCATTGCTTTTTTTATGTTGCAGCCGCGGGAACTATTGAAGTTGGAAGAAAAAAAAATTCCAGTCCATACGAGTACACTCCTTAAAGTGCCTCAGACTGCTAGCCATGACTAATAAGCACTTGTCAAACCACTTGTACTGTACAACATTTTAATTTAGTCTTCAAGACCATTCGCCTTTGACCTCCAAGGTTTTCCTGAATTTTAGTTGGTCTCGAAGGAATGTCAGTGATTTAATGTCATCTGAGCTAAGCAGACTTTTCTTTGATCCCCTGTGAATGACCATTTTAAATAAGAAAACTGGAAAAAACATGCCCTAGCGCAACCTAAGCAGAATAAGCGTCTCCAAGAAAGGGAACTTGGGAATGTCTGTCAAAAGTAGCAAATTCGATGATGAAGTAGGTTAGCAGCACAAAATGGTGATAAATTATTAAAGGGAAAGCTTAGAACAGTAGGTCAACGCACCGACAGGTTCATCTGGAATGCTGGGTATGGTCTGATCACTGTAAAGCTGTTTGTTCAGTACAATAATTCTTGCGTAACCGCTCCCAATCTGAAGAAGCGGATTCTCTCCTCTTGACACATTTTCTTGGGACAGTGGGACGATTTTGACTTGTTTAATGTCGGAAAGAGCGTATTCTTCATCTGCGCAGTAGATTGTGTAGCGATCGAGAAGTGAAACCTGGTTTGTGTTGATGACGTTGCAGACGGTCTCCTTATTATCACTGCTTACGATAAGTACTTGAGCGTTTCCTATATTATAAACAGTAAAGCTTAGCTTTCAACAAACCATTTTGCTCGATTTGCCATCAAACCTTGCTGAAAACAACAAGATTTTTACACAAAAGGCCTTTTAGAGATTTGGGTTTTGCCACACAATACTGTTCGAGCGCACTTCATGGTCTCGTGGAAGCAGTTGATTATTCTATTTAACAAAAAATTCAAGTTTCGTAGTAAAGCATCAATATTTCATTCTGCCGACGTGAACATGGTTTAGTTTTAAAAGTTGGATTATATCTGCAGCAGGCATGCCAAGGGTTTGTCGTGGCAACTTACACGAAGAGCACAAGCCGTTCGTGTTGCGTCGATAAAACCAACAGCGACCAAATCAGTGCAACAGTGCTGTATAAATTCGACTTATCAGAGCACTAGTTAGGACACGCAATCCTTTAATTTTATTCTCTTGGCAAAACCACACTTAAGCGGCAACATTATTGGGTCTCTCATTGGGGCACAAGATTGCTAACTTCTGTCTTTAGAGGATTTATAAATAGATGAATAGAAATGAAGGCCAAAACACCTAATCAATTTCCATTAATACCGTGCATTAGTTTAGTAAGGAATCCATGCAGTGGTTGATCGAGCGGATCAGATATCAAGTTGAAATCAAGGCAAGTCGATTACATAATTACCCTCCCAACACAGAACCCAAATAGTAGTTCTGTCCAAAGCAGTTTCATTTCGAAAGTAAAATCGGGTTTATTTCCACAAATTGAAAATGTCTACATTATGTGTTGATTTGAGAAAGGTTGGAAATTATTCAGGGAAATAACTCACAAAATAATACGGTTGCCAAGTAAGTCAGTAATTTACTGATTTAGTCAGCCAAGAGATGCAGAATTTCCCGCACAATGACAGTTGACTTCACGCATGTACCAAAATGTTCTTTTTAGACTGATCCATGTAAAAGGCACGCTCGTTAGATGCAGACATAAGTTGACTTTGCTACAGTCCTTTTTGTGCTACGGATCTAATTGCGCAGACTTATGAGTGGTGAGTCACTTAAAGTAACAAACGCCTTCAGTTCATGAGAGACTCCATTTCGCCCGAAAATGCAACGTGAGCAAAGCTGCGTTGCAATGTTGGAAGTATTGGTTTACTAAGAAGCATATTCACCCATTTGAGTCATTTCGACTACTAACAATAGTACCTCTGATCGAATTCCTGCGATCTAGTCTTATAGGTTTGATTTATGCGGCTTTGCTACCACTACTGACCCTCAGCAGTTTGAACCTATCTAGTTCTTTAACGCACTACAGAAATTGCGGTTTAAAAAAACACGAATGAAATGTTGGATAAAAGTCTCACATCGATTCAAGCAAATGCTGTTGAGTTTTTATCGAAACGTGTGGAGTGTCGCTCTCTTTAGTGGTTTCTTGGTAATTTATAACATAGTCAGCCCTAGCAGTAGACTGTACTTTATCGCTGCTCTTCCAAATTTGAGCCACGACTCCGCTTTATTCCTAATTGGCAATTA